CTCTGGTGATATTATCTCCGTAGATAGTCGATTCATTCTCAGGATTTGTAAAGCCTGGCTCAATTCGTTGAGAATGCAGTCAACGAGTTGAGCCATAGCTCTACAAATCCACGAACTAAATATGGCGGACGTACATGAAAGAAAAACCGCCTAATCTTTTAATAGTCTCTCCACCTTTCACACGAATCCCCACGCGTCGTCCCAGCGGGGGTACAGTCATTAAATCTCGGCTCTATTCGCCATGCGGAAGCTACCTGAGAAATATTAAGTGCGCATGCTCATCAAACAAACTCGAGGTGAAGAAAGCATGGCGGCTGGAGGCGATCGAAGGAAAAAAGCTCTTCTGTTCTATTATCTTTCAAAACAGAGACGAAAAAGGAATGAATTGGCCCGTAGAGCAGCAATGAATCGGCTATCTACGGATATAATGTCACCAGAGATATTCACGGAGATGTTCACGGAGATACCCAGCCCCAGTAGATGGAGGAGGAGGATGGCAGAATTTTTGCGTATGCAGTCTCGTCAGAGGGCGCAGTTCGTTCTTATGCTGATGTTTGCCTTGTTCCCCACGCCTGATCGAACTGTTTGGATGAAAGAAAAGTAGGTGACATGCGTCATTTGATTTGTTTTGGTGAGCGAATAAAATTTGCTTCAAAAACTAGAATAAAAAAAAGTGAAACCAAACGTCTGAGTCTCGATTCCATAATTCGCCCATTACGTGCTCGACCCAGAATACTGTAGCCTGTGTGATATCGCTATTCGCAATACGCGACGCTTTTCGAGGTACGGGACCCAGATTTTTAATTAACTAGAATCGGTGTATTTTAAATAACTGCTACTGTCCACTGTATGTTAGCACAGGTACATTTAAATCACTTCATGCCAATACCCCTGGTGGATCACTTTCCAGACTTTAGATTTTCATACTTTTCACATTTATTATTTTTTGCACATTATTATCACATTTAGTATTTACTTTTGTCTTATTTTGCACAGTTAAAATATTTTTATAGGTAATTAAAATTTCTTTACCTCGATGAAGGAAAGTCTAAAGGTGTTGTCTGTACTGTAAAAAACTGGGTTTGTTTTTCTAGACATAAAATTCAAAATTTACATTTTAGATCAAGCCACTGGTGGGAACATATTGTGAATCGGACTTTTACGGATGGAGATTGGATGGAAAATTTTTGTATGAAAAGAGCAACATTCCAGTATCTTTGCCATGAACTTAGACCTTTTCTGGAGAAAAACTCCCACAGAAAGTAAGTGGCAGCACATTCTTGTGGGATAATATAAAGAGCAGGAATGCATGTATATGATTGCTCATGTTTGCAAAAAAAAAAAAAATTTACTGTGGTGTCTTCTTGTTGATCTAAAGGCTAATGACAAGTAGTATGCAATTATACAGTCATGTTATGTTATTGTTGTATGAAAAACATATGACCGATTTTGCATTTGTGCAAAATTAAGTTCCAAATTTTTTGTTTACAAAATTTTGCAATTCCCAAGTTGGAGATTATTCATAAAAATGTCTGTAACATTTAACAGTAATACAACTAATGTGGGAAAATATTATGGATAATTGCTGTCGTTATTGAAAATTGTAAGGCTAAGTATTTTTATATTCATAACCAAGACTGTGGAATTGCCATTATGTATTAATGTTTTGCAATAACAGCTCAAATTTATGCTTTTTGTAGGTGTTATTCAGTAGAACTCAGGGTTGCAGTGACTCTGTGGATATGTGGCTCTGGTATGGAATACAGAAGCATTGGGCATTTGTTTGGAATTGAGATATCTTTAGCCTGCACCATTTTCCAAGAAACTGTGCAGGCCATAGCCACCCATCTTTCTCCTAAGTTCATTCAGATGCCCACTGGGAGAAGACTACAAAATATTGTGGAGGGATTTGAGGCCAAATGGGGTGTTCCACAATGTGCAGGGGCTATTGATGGAACACACGTGCCCATTATTGCTCCAAGCCAAAACAAGACTGATTACTACAACCGGAAATGTTTTTATTCCATTGCTAGTCAGGTAAAGAAGAATAAATATACAGCGTGCATGATTCTCTCTAGGATCCTTGGTCCTTTAATAGCCAAAAGGTGTCCAATAAGTACAGTTAACCTATTCCACTCCCACCCCTCTTACAAATACACATGAAAAATATCCTCATTACTTTACAACACTTTTTGGTGGTGCTAAGTTGTGTTATTAGAACCTCATAGTCTTGGAATGTGTTCAAATGTTGGGAGGTTGAGTTCAGCTCTAATTTATATGTGGCTTTTTTTTTCACTAGATTGTAGAAGCAGCATTTATTATTATATTATTTTAGTTTTGTCACATTTTGTATATTTTTTCAACTTTCCATTACAGGTGATATGTGATCATGAACTAAGAGTCTTGCATGTGGTATCAGGCTGGCCAGGACGAGTGCAAGATGCACAAGTATTAGCACAGTCAAGCATCTTTCAAAAGGCAGAAAGTGGGACTTTATTCCCCCCGTCAAGTCGACTGATAAATGGAGTAGAAGTGCCCATTTTGATTATAGGTGACCCTGCCTATCCCCTCAAACCTTGGCTGTTAAAAGCATTTTCAGACTTTGATGTACTTACTCAAGCTCAAAAGAACTTCAACTATTGCCACACTCGAGGAAGAATGTGCATTGAGGGATGTTTGAGTAGATGTAAAGGGAAATGGCAGATACTTCAACACAGGCTAGATTTTGAAACTGAATTTGTACCAGTGCTCATCCTGGCATGCTTAACACTGCATAATGTTGTCATGGTTCACAATGAAGGCTTTGACCAGGAGTGGATGGACTTGGTGGAGGAAGATCGAAATCATAACGGATACAAACCAGGACATGACATGAGACAGTACGATGCCAAAGCCATAAGGGAAGCATATGTTCAGTATTTTAACAACAGATAATAAGG